ATTAACTCCAGATGGATTAAAGACTTAAACATAAGACCTGGCACCATAAAACCCTAGAAGAAAATCTAGGCAAAACCATTCAGGACATAGGAGTAGGCAGGAACTTCATGACCAAAACACCAAAAGCATTAGCAACAAAAGCCAAAATAGACAAATGGGACCTAATGAAACTCCACAGCTTCTGCACGGCAAAAGAAACAGTCACTAGAGTGAATCTGCAACCAACAGAATGTGAAAAAATTTTTGCAGTTTACCCATCTGACAAAGGGCTGATATCCAGAATTTACAAAGAACTCAAACAGATTTACAGGAAAAAAAACAAACAAGCCCATGCAAAAATGGGCAAAGGATATGAAGAGACACTTTACAAAAGAACACATACATGAGGCCAACAAACATATGAAAAAATGCTCATCATCACTGGTCATTAGAGAGGTGCAAATCAAAACCACATTGAGATACCATCTCATGCCAGTTAGAATGGCGATCATTAAAAAATCTGGAGACAACAGATGCTGGAGAGGATGTGGAGAAATAGGAACACTTTTACACTGCTGGTGGGAGTGTAAATTAGTTCAACCATTGTGGAAGACAGTGTGGCGATTCCTCAAGGACCGGGAAAATGTGGCACATACACACCATAGAATATTATGCAGCAATCAAAAACGATGAGTTTGTGTCTTTTGTAGGGACATGGATGAATCTGAAGAACATCATTCTCAGCAAACTGACACAAGAACAGAAAATAAAATACCGCATATTCTCGCTCATAGGCGGGTGATGAACAATGAGAACACATGGACACAGGGAGGGGAGCACTACACACTGGGGTCTATTGGGGGGAATAGGGGAGGGACAGTGAGGGGGAGCTGGGGGGGATAGCATGGGGAGAAATGTCAGATGTGGGTGAAGGGGAGGAAGGCAGCAAATCACACTGCCACGTGTGTACCTATGTAACTATCTTGCATGTTCTGCACATGCACCCCAAAACCTAAAATGCAATTTTAAAAACAGGGAAAAAAATATGAACTAAAAATAGATCTACCATTTGATCCAGCAATCCCACTACTGGGTGTCTACCCAGAGGAAAAGAAGTCATTATATGAAAAAGACACTTGCTCACACACCTTTATAGCAGCACAATTTGCAATTGCAAAAATATGGAACCAGTCCAGATACTCCTCAATCAATGGGCAGATAAAATTTGGTATATATATATATATATACCACAGAATACCACTCAGCCAAAAAGAGGAACAAAATAATAGTATCTGAAGCAACATGAATGGAGTTCAAGCTCATTATTCTAAGTTCAGTAACTTAGGAATAAAAAACTAAGCATCATATGTTCTTACTTATAAGTGGGATTTAAGGGACTTTGGAGACTCAAGGAGAAGGTGGGAGGGGGATGAGGACTAAAAGACTACACATTGGGTACAGTGTACACTGCTCAGGTGATGGGTACACCAAAATCTCAGAAATCACCACTAAAGAACTTCCAAGTAACCAAACACCACCTGTTCTCCAAAAACTATTGAAATAATAATAATAATAAGAAGAAGAAGAAGAAGAAGAATTCACAAAGTTTTCAAAAAAAAAGAAACACTGAAAGTCTTTCCTCTAAGGTCTGGAACACAACAAGGATGCCCACTTTCACCACTGTTATTCAAATTAGTAATGGAAGTCCTAACTATAGCCATCAAACAAGAGAAATAAATAAAGAGCAACCAAATTAGAAAGAAAGAAGTCAAATAATCCTTGTTTTCAGATTATATGAGCCTATATTTGGAAAAACCTAATGAATCTGCCAAAAAACTATGAAAACTGATAAAGATATTCAGTAAAGTTGCAGGATACAAAATCAGCATACGAGAATCAGTACCATTTCTACATGCTAACAATGAACAATCTGAAAAATAAGTCAAAAAAGTAATCCCATTTACAATAGCTACAAATAAAATTAAACACCTAGAAATTAACTTACCCAAAGAAATGAAGGATCTTTACAACAAAAACTATAAAACACTGATGAATAACATTAAAGAGGACACAAAAAAATTGAAAGATATTCCTGTTCATGGACTGATACAATCAATTTTTTCAAATGTCTGTACTACCCAAAGCAATCTACAGATTCAATGCAACCTCTATCAAAATATCAAAGACATTCTTCACAGAAATAGAAGAAACAACACTAAAATTTACATGGAACCATAAAAGACTCAGAATAGCCAAAAATATCCTGAGGAAAAAGAACAAAACTAGAGGAATCACATTACCTGACTTCAAATTATACTACGCAGCTATAGTAACCAAAACAGCATCGTACTGACATAAAATCCTCAGCTCAAAATGCTAGCAAATCAAATCCAGAAAAATAAAATGAAGATTATATTCTCCCAAGTAGGATTTCTCCCAAGAATGTAAAGTTGGTTTCACATCTGAAAATCAATTACTGTAATACATAATATTAATAGAATAAAGGACAAAACACACATGATCACCTCAATAGACATGGAAAAAGCATTTCACAAAACCTAACACCCTTTATGGTAAAACAAAAGAAAACAAAGCAACCCTTAAACTAATTAGTAACAGAAAAAAACTTAGTCTGATAAAGGGCATCTAGATAAACTGAATTTCATCAAAATGAAAACCTTCGTGTTGCAAATGATACCAACTAGAAACTGAAAAAACAACCCAAAGAATGAGAGAAAAGATCTGCAAATTGTACATCATATAAAGAACATGCATCTGAAATAACTCTTAAAACTGAATAATTAAAAGATAAATTACTAAATAATTTTTATTGATATATAATAGTTACACATAGTTTGAAAGTACATGTGATATTTCAATATCTGTATCTGATACCTAATGATCAAAATCCAAATAATCAGGATATCTATCATCTCACACATTTATCCAAGGTCTTTGGTTCCACCAGGGTTTCAGAGACTCCCACTTGAGTCCCAAAGCTCCCAAAGTGAGATTTTGACTGGATAGGGGCAGAATTCTTGTTGTGAGGAGATATAAGTAGGTTACCTTCTATTCCCCATCTTAGTGATGACCCTGAAACAGTCTAATTAGCCATTACACAAATTGAATTTATTTAAAAGTCCCTTTCAGAAATCTACAAGCCTAGATAGTTTCATTGGAGAAATCTACCAAATAGAAAGAAAAATTAACACCAATTTTAGACAATTATTTCTGAAAACAGAAGCGAGGAAAACACTTGCAGACTCATGATTTATCATAACCAGACAAGATAGTATAAAGAAAACTATAGACTAATATTTCTCATGAACTTAAGATGTAAAATCCTCAACAAAATATTAGCTGATTAAATCCAGCACATGCTCTCTTTCTCTCTCTCTTTCACTATCCATATATGTATGTCATAAACCAAATGGGATTTATTCTAGGGAATAGCATTCAAAAATCAACCAAGGTAATCCACCATATCAACAAGCTAAAAAAGAAAAATCATATGATAATGTCAATCAATGCAGAAAAAGCATCTGATAAAATCCAATACCAATTCATGATTTTTAAAAACTCATTAAATTAGTATGGGGATGACGTCAACTTGATTTTTTAAATATAGAAAACATCTATAGCTAACATCACACTTACTGGTCCCCTACAGTTAGCAATACTGCAAGTATGCATGCTCTCACCACCTACTACTTAGTCCATCACATAGTACTGGAAGTTCTAGTCACTCACTGCGATCAAACAGACAACCCCATCAAAAAGTGGGCAAAGGATATTAACAGACACTTCTCAGAAAAAGACATTTATGTGGCCAACAACATATGAAAAGTAGCTCATCATCACTGGTCATTAGAGAAATGCAAATCAAAACCACATTGAGATACCATCTCACCCTGTTAGAATGGCAATTATTAAAAAGTCAGGAAACAACAGACGTTGGAGAGGATGTGGAAAAATAAGAATGCTTTTTACACTGTTGGTGGGAGTGTAAATTCATTCAACCATTGTGGAAGACAAAGTGACCATTCCTCAAGGATCTAGAACTAGAAATATCATTTGACTCAGCAGTCCCATTACTGGGTATATACCCAAAGGATTATAAATCATTCTTCTATAAAGACACATGCACACAAATGTTTATTGCAGCACTATTCACAATAGGAAAGATCTGGAACAAACCCAAATGCCCATCAATGATAGACTAGATAAAGAAAATGTGGCACATAGATACCATAGAATACCGTGCAGCCATAAAAAAGGATGAATTCATGTCCTTTGCAGGGACATGGAAAAAGCTGGAAACCATCATTCTCAGCAAACTAACACAAGAATAGAAACCAAACACCACATCTTCTCACTCATAAGTGGGAGCTGAACAATGAGAACATATTGACACAGGGAGGGAAACATCACACACCAGGGCCCGTTGAGGGGTGGTGGCCTAGGGGAGGGATATCATTAGGATAAATACCTCATGTAGATGATGAGTTGATGGGAACAGCAAACCACCATGGCACATGTATACCTATGTAACAAACCTGCACATTCTGCACATGTATCCCAGAACTTAGAGTTTAATTAATTAGAATAATAAAGCTTTTACAAAAAGACACAGGCCAAAATGTTTGGGATCTAGGGCTAGGCAAAGAATTGATAGACTTATGATCAAAAGCACAATCCAAAAAAGGAAAAACTGAGAAATTAAAATTTATCAAGATTAAAAACTTTTGTTTGACAAAAAAAATGTTAGAATAAAAAGCCAAGCTGTAAACTAGGAGCATACATTGATAAACCACATATCTGATGCTATGGTTTGAATGTTTGCACCCTCCAAAACTCATGTTGAAATTTGGTTGTCACTGTGGTAGTGTCAGGAAGTAGGACATTTGGAAGGTGATAGCGCCATGAGGGTTCTGCCCTTATGGGTGGGAGTAATGCTATTATAAAAAGGCATATTTGACTCTCTTTTTTCTCTTTGCCTTATTGCCTTCCACCATATGAAGACAAGGCATTTCTCCCTCTGAATGATGCCACAAAAAGACCCTCACCAGATGCTGGCACCTTGATCTTGAACCTCCCATCCTCCAGAACTGTGAGAAAAATACATTTCTTTATGAATAATCCACTCTCAAGTATTCTGTTATAGCAACATAAATGGACTAAGTCCTCTGACAGAAATGGATTAAAAATAAAAACACAGATACAAATCTCACCTTGAATTGTAGTCCCTATAATCCCCACATGGTGTGGGAGTGTACCCAGTGGGAGGTAATTGAATCATAAGGGTAGTTACCCCCATGCTGCTGTTCTCATGATAATCAGTTCTCATAAGATCTGAAGCTTTTATAAGGGGCTTTTTCCCCTTTGCTTGGCACTTATTCTCCTTCCTGCTGCCATGTGAAGGACATGTTTGTTTCCCCTTCTACCATAATTATACGTTTCCTGAGGCCTCCCCAGACCTGTGGAACTGTGAGTCAATTAAACTTCTTTTGTTTATAAATTGCCCAGTCTCAGGTATGTTTTTATTAGCAGCATGAGAATAGACTAATATACTGTTCAACAGCAGAAAAATGCAAATTAGAATCACAATGAATTATGACTACAAACCTACAAGAATAACTAAAATAAAAAATAGCAAGTTGCTGCTGGAAAGGATGCAGAGAAACTGGATCATTTGTACATTGCTTTTGGGAATGTAAAATGGTACCACCACTTTGGAAAATAGTGTGGCAGTTGTTTATGAAACTAATATGCAACTACTATACAATTTAGCAATTGTATTCTTAGGTAGTTGTTTCAGAAAAATGAGAAAAGGTTTACACCAAACCTGTGCACAGGTGTTCGTAACAGCTTTATTTATAATAGATCAAAACTAGAAACAACTAATCATTCTTTACTGGGTAAACTCTTAAACAAACTTTGGTACATCCATACCACAGAATACTACTTGGCAATAAAAACTAACAAAAAAATTATTTACATTTTTCTATCTGTTTTCCAACTTTCCATGTACTCGGATTGGACTGACAACTTGGATAAATCTCCAAGGAATAAAGCCGATCACAAAAGGTTACATAGTGTATGAATCCAACTATATAACATTCTTAAAATGGCAAAATTATAGAAATGGAGAACACATTCATAATTGCCAGGGGTGAGGCGAGGGAGGTGAATGTGGCTATAAAACAGCAACATGAGGAATCTTTGTGGAGACAGAACTGTTCTATATCTTAATTGTATCAATGTCAATATCCTGGTTGTGATATTGTACTGCAATCTATCAGATGTGACCCCAGGGGGAACCTTAATAAAGGACACATGGAGTCTCTCTATATTATTTCTAACAACTGCATGTGAATCCACAATTATCTCAAAATAAAAATCTTAATTAAAAGAAACTACACTGGCACCTACATCTTTCCTCCCTTCTCGAAATGTTTTTCATAGTCTGTTTTCTTTACCTTAGAACCTAAGCTCTTTCAAGAACTATTAAATATTTTGTAAAGAAATATCTATCTTAAGTTTAGTAACAATAATTCTGCAATTCTAATTTCAAATTATTTTTTCTGATAAATTCAAATATAATATGTATATTTTAGTTTAAAGTAACTAATAGGGCATTGTTTTCAAAGGTATTCTTTCTTTATCTTTCTTGGTATGTGTGAGTGTATCTGACTGTGGTTCTTTTTGTTTTTATTTTTCATAAAGGAGCCATATGAAGTGATACATGCCCAAAACAGACAAAAGTTATTCTGGGATGTAAGTGCTAGAATTTCATCAATATTTGCCTTTATATTTGTATGTATTACTTACATTCTTATACTGTGTATAAAAGTCTAATTTAACATTATAATTTATATACATATGTATAATTAGCATTCATCATTAGCTAGTCTACAGATTATAATTGTACCTTCATTTTATGTCCTCAGGTACATTCATAAACACTGACTATATTTTACAACATAAAGAAAATGCCAAAGAAATTTTCAAAAAGTCACAATAGTATAGACAATGCAATAAAAGTAAACATTTTTTAAACAGAAGAAGAATACCTAAAAGAATTATCTCTATAACTGTTAGTCCAATCTGAGTATATGGAAAGTTGGAAAGCAGATGGACAAACAGTAAACTCTAAGATATGGGTTTATAGGCTATTCTTAACCTTTTTGTACTTTTCTGTATTCACATTTTATAAAATATAAATGTAATGTGTTTTTATTTAACAATTTATGTATACAATAAATCCCTATATCAATGAGTTTAGATGATACTGTAGTAACAACCCCAAATTTTAGTGGATTACAAGAGAAGTTTATTTTCTCAACCACATTACATGTCAATTATGGACTGGTTTCTACCCTACTCCTTGTCATCTCCAGGAATCTAGGCTGAAGAAGCAACTTCTATATCAGTCTCAAGGACAAAGAAAAAGAGAGGCTGGGAAGACCATGTGGTGTCTCTTAAAGCATCTTCTCAGAAATGCCACTTTTGCTCACATTCCATTGGGTAAAACAAAACATTTGGCCAAATCTGAAGTCAACAAGAAATATATAATTTTTTTCAAGTCAGTAGAAATATATAATTTTTCCTTTGGGAGGGACCCTAATAGAAAATGGCAGCATACATTTTGAATAAAACAATCTATCACAAGCCTAAATTTTTTATGTATATCTATGTACAGGCATATTTGTGTGTGTACATATGTGCACATGTGTGTGTTTATATATTTTTTATAGATAATCAGAAAGAAACACAATATGATGCAAATGGAGGCCCTAAATTATTTTTGATATACAAATAAAAATAAGCCCTTAAATTTCTTAATAAGGAGCTCAGTGTGACCAAAGTTGAGAAACTGGTTAGGCCAATAGCTAAATTTTAAGAGTTGAGGAGATAAGAGCTGAAAAAAACAGACTAAAGTTAAGAAAAGAAGAGAGACAGTATAGCAGCTGAAGGAGTTTAATGGATGATAGAAATGAGACAGTATAGGAAAGGGATTCAGCCCTGGTAGACCAGAGATGATAATCAAGACCCCATGAGCCTCACATATCAAGGCATATTCTCCCCTACCTTTCCATCTCCCTTAATAAGCTGACCCAAGTCACATAGCAGAAGGAGGACCTCTCCTAACTTAGCTGACTAGGCCAAATTCATAAACATCAAAAAAGAAACTAACCGTTTATCTCTTTGAAGTGATACCTCCCCAGGTTACTAAAAGTGGACTCTAGCATTCCTATTAAGAACCTGACCATCTTCCACGTTTACTGAAGTGAGGTTCTGGCATTCCTGATAAGAAATGGAACAGATCCAGTCTGCTAAAGACAAGAAGGACTCCAACACTGACCTTTCACTGATGTTTTCCTCATTATAATCCCATCTTAATACTAAAATCTTCACCCAAGGCGGAACTTATCCACCATTTTCTGGTCATGCAATGTATATCAGAGCATGATGCTCCATTACACAAGCGCAAAGAAAATTTTCCCTAAACATGCTTGTATGTTACTCCATTTTCTGCCTCAGCTTCTGAAATGATGACAGCCGAGCCTCAGGGAGCTAGCGCCAAGATCCCTCTCCCATAAACTGCGCCCCTGCTTTGACTGAGCCACAAGCCTACTAAACCTTGCCTGAGAAAAAAATGTCTATTTGGTTTGGTGTTGATTTCCACTTCCGTGAGACTCAAAGAACTTGGGATACAAGCTACAGTAACAGAAGTCTTCTTTACGTTTATTGACTAAAGTAAAAAGTAAAGATTGCTGAGGGTTTAATAGCATCAAAGAGTTAAACCATAGAAGAATTCCTCTTCTACTGAAACTGTAGCATAAGGGTAAGCATGAATCTTATTATTGCAAATAATGGGAAAGCCATTTTGTTATTCCTTTAAGAGACGTTTATTGAAAATCTAAAAATTTCAAAGCCCTGTACTCAGATAAAGGTAAAACAAAGATAATTAAGGCATAATTAGCCCTTGAAGAGCTTGGAATATAATAAGAAGTACAGAGTAAAATAACCATTTTAACATTAAAAACAAAGTGCTACGAGATTACACACATATATAGTAAGCCCACAACTAGAAGATGAAAGATCTGTGAGATTTTTCCAAAATAGAGAAGGATTAAAGGAATTAAATACAGGAAACAAAGTAAACAAAATCTCAGAGGCTTGAAATTGAAAGTGTAGGAACATGTAAATTAAATTAGAAAAAACATTTAACTAGAAGATCTATCAAAGCTGTTCCAGAGTGATCAAGAGAACAGGTTTGAAGCCATGCAAAAATAGACCTAGACTTGAATTCTAGTCATTCTGCTCTCTTACTATGTAATCTTGAATAAATAATGTAACCTCTGACAAAATAAGGATAATAATAAAGTATTGCATATAACATTGCTGTAAAGATTAAATTAAATGTAAGTAGGGTATTAAACACAGTTCCTATCTCATAGAAAGCAAAAAAAAATAGTATTTGTCATTTATAGGGTGAATCAATTCATTCTGTAAACTGCGAAACACTATAGAGATAGCCTGTTTTCTGAAACATGATGAATACCTTCAAAAAAAAGCACATCTAAATATATAAGCATTTTAATATGAGGTAATATTACTCAAATACTTACAGTATAAAGTGTTCCTTTTCTTAAAAACACACTTATATTTACGTGTGTTTTACATTTACATTAGGAAATATTCTAAATGTTTCTAGAAAAAAGCTTATGGGGAAAAATTATTTTCTCATCCAATTACTGAAATTTATCATATTATTTTATAACATGACATATTTCTAAAAATCCAAAGTTGCCCCTAAACCTTATAATAATTTTTTTTGTAATGCCACAAAACCTACTTTTTCTCCTCTTTCTATTTCAAGTTGCTTCTTAACAGACAAAAGTTCATTTCTAAAATTGGATAGTTCAATCTCCTGAAGAAAAAGAAACATGAAGTTTATAAGAGCTTTCATGTATTTCTCAAGACAATGAAAATATAAACTAGTGCTCTGAGTAAATTCAACTTTGTAGAGAAATAAATTCGCTCATACAATATAGATACTTTTAAAGTCAACTGATATAAAGGCTGCTAGCTGAACATAGCTCAAGACCTCATTTAAACACATTTTTTGGGCTGGGCACAGTGGCTCATGCCTATAATATCAGCACTTTGGGAGGCGGAGGCAGGCAGATCACTCGAGGTCAGGAGTTTGAGACCAGCCTGGCCAACATGCTGAAACCCCATCTCTACTAAAAATATTAATACAAAAATTAGCTGGGTGTGGTGATGCACATCTGTAGTCCCAGTTACTCAGGAGGCTGAGGCAGGAGGATTGCTTGAAGCTGAGAGGTAGAGGTTGCAGTGATGCAGTGAGCCCAGATCATGCTAGTACACTCCAGCCTGGGCAACAAAGAAATGCTCTATCTCAAAAAAAAGTTTTTTTATAGTTTTCTTTAAAGAAAAATTTAATGCAAAGTATATCTCTCCTTGTTCTCTCCCAATTTTTCCTACCCTCCTCTCCCAATTTCAATCAGAGGTCCAAATGTGTTAATTGGAGTTTATAAAATTTCACTTGAAAAAAAATTTGTTCCACTATTTTGAAAATTAAATTAGAAAAAGCATTTAACTAGAAGAGCTATAAAATGCCTTTCAGATTTAAGATTCATTCAATAGCTCAAAAATTAGTTTTACTTAATATTATTCTTTACCACCAGTCACTGCTGACATTATGAAAACTGCTATTTTTCCTGTATCTCACCAAAGATGCTCTCAGTGACATCTGCTCCTGTTCTTTGCTCTTGTAAAGTCCTAATTCTGAGTCTCTTTCTTCAATGATCTTATCATATTGGTGCTATATTAAACAAAGAAGACATTTTAGGTGTATTAAAACTGAATAGATTATAAAATTGGTATCCTAACATATTTTATTTAATATTTAATTTAGTATTTAATTAATTATTTAGTATTTAATTATGCAGAAAAAGTATGTTTATAAATTCAGTAATATATATGGGTATATATCTTTTTAATGTTTCAATTATATTTTTTCATTCAAACAACCTCAACAGTGAAACACTCAACAGTCTTGGATATAACCTAAGAGCAGAAGATAATTCTTTTATTGGAAACATTGAATTTGAACATTTAAAAATATGACAGAGACACCAAGACCTCTACAAAACTGACTGACTCCAAATCTGGGACAGGAAATATAAGCCTTAAACATTTTGTCGTAACTCAAAGAAAGTTATCAGAGAAAATTAAAATTAAGTCAAAAGAACTTGCCAGCCACCTTGAAGAGGCTCCTGCTGGCCAAATGTGGAAAAATGTGAGTTATCAATAAGGACACATGCTGCACTGCATTGAAACATACCAAATTTGTTTAAATCTATGAGCTCACAATGCTATTTAAACTATGTTTTAAAATCCTCACTGGTTCTCTCATAATAATCTCTTATTCCAGCAGATTTTTTTTTTTAATGAACAGGTAGGTATATCCTACTTCTTCTCCAAATCCTAAGAATGAGGCTTAGTTCCGTAACAGATGGATACGCTAAAACAACAATTAAAAATATAAGACACAAACACATCACACACTAAGCATTTTATCTATTTTGTCCTTTGATAAAAATTAATTTAGCCTATTATGTGTTAGATATACCTACAGAATACAAATACCAATGAAATATTTATCCTGGGCATGTACTTAAAAATATATAAGGTAGAAAGTGCTATAAGAGACTACTAGGAGAATCCAGAAAAAGAGTGATTACTTCCATTCATCACAGATAATAGAGCTTTCCTCAAGGAAGTGACAGAGAGGCTCAACTTTGTACGGTTAAGATCTGAACTTAGAGAAATGGGCATCAAAGGTATTCCAGCTATAGTCAGTCACTGTTGCATAGACAATTATCTTTGCCGACAAATAAGAATACTATCTTGATTTCACCATTTTTAACAGAAATATGGCTCCAATTAATAATTCTCATTATATAAGAAGAAAAAATTACCTTATGTTTTTCCATAAGTGCTACCATTTCAGCTATTTTATGTTGACATCGTATATCAATTTCTTTCTGTAATTTTACTGCTTCATCAGCTATTGCTTTTGCTTTCTTAACCTACAAAATAAGCAAAAAAAAGTTTCTTAAAATCAATGCACAAAAAACAAACAAGTGTTAATAGTATTCTACTTAAATAAAATGTTATTTAAGTGTTCTACTTAAATAGAATGCAAACTTCAAACACCAGGAAACTTGAAAAACAAGTAGAAAATGCACTGCTTGGGGTTTTTTCAGGGTGTTCTCTGAAGTAAGATGACAATATAACACCGTGGCAATCATTAAATCCTTTCAAAATAATTATATACTCAAAACACTTAGAATAACAAGGACAGTTTTAGCTTCTATAAAAATAAACTGACCCTAATATAAATTTACTAAACCTTTTTTTAAACCATAATTTAAATTTTAAGATTTTTTTACTTTTCTCTTAAAATCCTAATAAAAATATAGATTTTTAGTATAATAAATTCGGAATACATTAAGTTTTTCCCACCTCGCCTAAAAGATTTTCTTCTGATATCTTTTTGTCCTCTATTTCCTTCTGATAGCTGTCAGTCATTTCTTGAAATTTCTGTTTGGCACTTTCTAGTTCTAACTGTAATGTATTGACCTTTAAGTAAAGAAAAATGGCATGAATATCAGTAAATGCTATGGATTGCTTGAAAATATTCCATATTCATTTGGGTTTTATGAATTTTTTAAAATTCCTTATACTTTCATATGATGAGATGTATTTTATTTTCTCAAAATCTATCTTCTCCCCTAAAATATGTATTTAGTCTTGACAAGTAATATAAAATAAATACCCATGCATTTATTTTTAATGAATTTCTAACAATATTTACATTGGTTACTCTCAATGAATATAATATGCTTTATTAGTAAAAGTATGTCCATGTGACAGAAAACTCATGTGATTCAAAGAAAAGGTATATTCTTAATGAGATTAATTTTCTATAGAGAAGCAACAACTTCCAATTATATTATTTTCACATACTTTGTATAAATATTTACTGAGTTGTGTAGGTATAATTCATATATACAAATTATCAAGGGGGAAGGAAAGCCCTGAATTAATACCCTTCATATTCAATTTTATCTTAGATTATTACTGGAGAGGTGTTACATGGCAGGAATAGGAATTGGGAAGGGGGTATGAGTAATATAATGATGAATCAGACTGTATTTTATATCCATAAGTCAATCACCGACTTTAAAATATAGACCATTACCAATATTGATAAACACTGTTAAATGCACCTCCTTCTTCATTAGTTTTCCCTATTGCCCTTTCAAGTATAACATTCTTAATTTATATTTCCTTACTCTTCTTCATAGATTGCAAAATTATGTATTCCTAAAAAATATTTCAAGATTTTTTATTTTTGAACTTTATATAAATGTTTTCATAGAACATTATTTTTCTGGCTTGCTTTCTCATTGAACAGTTATATTTGAGATATTTATGTGTATAATAAATACAGTTCATTCATTTTCACTGCTGAGTAGTGTTCCGTTGCATGAATGTAACAGTTTATTTATGTATTCAATTGTTCAGGGCACTGAGTTGTCTCCATTTTGGGGTTGATACACACAATAATGCTATGAATGTTCTTATAAACGTCTCCTGGTTTACAAGAATGTAGAATTTCTCTATAGTATATACCTAGGATTGGAATTGTCAGGTCATAGGACAGGTTACACATTCAACTACAAGATGACATTATTTTCCATATGCAATTACCAATTTAAATTTCCAGCAACAAGATTAGGACTTTTTCTGTTTCACAACCTCAGCAAGAGTTGA